CTTCTTTGTACTGAAGAAAATTACCATTTCTTTCTCATTATTTCCTCATAGCAGTGAGAGGTTAAGAACTTTTCATTGGACACTTTCATTGTGGTAAATTATAAATAAATGCAAAATACAGAAATGGGATTTACATGAACAGTAATTTGGATGATAAAGATTCACCATTGAGAATATCTTGTCATGATATGAGAAAGTCCAGTATTACTGCTCGTTCTTATCCAGGCTTAGAAACACTGGAAATGTAAGCCAAGGAGTCATCTAGAATTTTTTATTACTACTAGCAATATTTTATCTACTAGTAATTATTTATTGCCACATGAAATTGATAATAACTTCATTTTTGAATTATATACTCACTATTTATCACTGATGTAGGTGGCCTACTAATGTAGTTTTGGAGAAACAAAACTAGCCTTTTCCAAAAGATCAGGAACCCAAAAGAGGTCGAACTCTGCACAGCCAGCCCTCTAGCTAACTAGCTATTGAGATAGGGTCTCCCTGAATTGCCAAGGCTAGTCTTGAACTCCTAGGTTCGAGTGATCCTCCCACCTCAGCCTCTTAATTCCCTGGGCCTACAAACTGCTTCTGGCTCTTTTCTAGTGTACTAATCTCATCCATTATTCCTGTTCTGGAGAAAGAAGGCAATGGAGGCAGTTGCCAAGTAAGGAGGCAGAAAAGGCCAGAAGTGTCATTGTGATAGATATTCCTGTTAGAAAGCTTGAAGCCAGTAGAAAAGGAGTTCTTAACCAATCATTTTCCAATGTGTGCTTTTAAAATTGAGAAATAATTCACATATACTAAGATGTACAGATTTTAAATTGCTGTTAGATGAATCAGAATGTACTCATGAAATTATTGCTTCAATCATGATATGAAACACTGTAACATTTTATTTATGAATGGATTCACAGTAAGATTTCATGAAGTACTGACTTTTTTTTTATTTAGAGAATATTAGTTTCTGTAATCAAACCCATGTAGATAAGACCCTGCATATTTAATAAAGGGTATTTGGCTTATTTTAAATGCTGAAATTTGGGACTAGAGAGATGGCTCAGTAGTTAAGAACCCTGCTGTTTTTCCAGAAGACTGGGGTTCAAATTCCAGCACCCACATGGTAGCTAACAACTGTCCGTAACTCCAGTTCTAGAGGATCTGACAGCCTCTTCTGTCCTCCACAGTATTGCATGACCTGTGTGCATTTACCTACATGTAGGCAATACATGCATATATACATAAAAATAATAAATAAAATATTTTTTAAAAAATAAATAAATGCTGAAATTTAACTTAGCTTCTGTTATCTCTGAAGAATTTAATGAACTTTCCTTAAAACATTTTTACATTATTAGTGGACAAATAATTATTTTTAAGAAAGATTGAATGGTTCTTAACTAATTAGAAATTTTTTTAAATGAACTGTTTTATGTGGATGGAGTTTATTTATTTTATATTTTTAAATGCTTAAATTGGGCTGGAAGTGGTGGTGCATGCCTGTAACCAGCACTTGGGAGGCTGAGGCAGGAGGATTGAGTTCCACACTAATCTGGGCTGTATAGTCAGATCCATCTCAGAAAACCAAAGAAGGAGCTGGAGAGATGGCTTAGCGGTTAAGAACACTTGCTGTTCTTGCGCAAGACCTGAGTTTGGTTCCTAGCACCCACATTAAGTAGTTCGCAGCACTTGTTAACTCCAGCTCTGAGGATCTGACACCCTGTTCTGGCCTCCAAAGGCACCAAAACACACACATACACATGCGTGCGCACTGAGAAAATAAATCTTAAAAAAAACCACACACAAAAAACAAATGCTTAAATTGGCTTTATTGCTCTCTCCTCACTTAGCAAGTGAAAGTTGTGATTGACCCTGGAGGAGTAAGGAAGGAGGAGATATTGGCAGAATGGGCAAAGATGGCCTCTGAGATGGTGACATGTAGACTGAAACTTGCTGAGAAGGCTGTCAAGCATAACTGCACAGCAGTGGAGATGGGATGAAGGAAAGAAATGAAAAGGGCCTACATACCAGTGTATAGGTGTGAAAGAGTTAGGTAGGGAGATACCATCAAGAAAGTAAGTTGGAGGCCTGGCATGATGGCATACACTTTTAATTCCAACATTCCTTTAATCCCAGCACTTGGGAAGCAGAGGCAAGTGGATCTTTGTGAGATGGAGGTGAGCCTAGTCTACATAGCCAGTGCCAAGTCAGTTGGGCCTACAGGGTGGGACCACCCCTGCCTCCTCCCCACACACAAATAAAAGAGCAAATTGGGAGAAGAAATGAATTTAGAGAGATGATGATGTATTTAGTTTTGGACAGCTTTGTCTTGTTGGTGAAATATATAGATTGAAGGCATAAAAGTTTATGTACACGATTGGTTAGATCAGTGAACCTGTGTTTATTGAGTGATTGTTAATGCACAGTGCATTTAAAAAAATTTTATGTGTGTGAGTGTTATGCCTGCATATGTGTAAGCGCACCCATGTCATGTAGCACCTGTTGAGGACAGAAGAGGGCGTCAGATCCCCTACAACTGGAGTTACAGATGGTTAGCTGCCATGTGGTGCTGGGATTTGAACCCAGGTTCTTTGTAAGAATATCCAATGCTCTTAACCTCTGAGCCATCTCTCCAGTCCATGAGCTATTTCTTCAAAACTGTTTTCCCCATTTTAGTTTACATGTATGCTATATTTAGATATTTATTTTTAAATTATTCTCTAGTACTAACTAATAAAATAATATGTAAGTACTTCTAAGCATATTAGAGAACGCAGTAGGAAGCACAGGTTAAAAGAAAACCGGGATATAAGTAGAGGATGTTGGTTTTAGTTGATTACTTGATATAAATTTTTAAATTTAATCTTTATTAAAATTAAATCATCTCTCACTTTATGATAGGGAATCTATATTTTGAGAATTATCATAAACTAGCAGTGTATAAAAATTAGTTAAAATGGATGCTGCTGGGTTAGAGATTTAGGTGAGTGGTAGAGGACTTGTGTAGGCCTCAGGTTGGATCCCCAGCACTGTCATCCCCCCCCACCTCCTACACACACGAGAGGGGTAGGGACAGAGTGTACCTTACTTTGAAGGAAGATCTTATTAGGAGTCCTAATGTTTTCCATTTTTACTGTGTTGGTTTTTCCCCCACTGAAAATGAGGCAATTCCGTGGCAATTACAACTTATCAAAACTGCAGGTGTTTAGTGTGCATCTGTTAGGTTGTACTAGTAGTTACTATATTCTTTACTACCACATACTTAAAAGTCTTTTTTAAAAAGTTTATTTTAAGAATATCTATGATAAGAGTTGGAAAAATCTTTTTAAAGTACCCTTTAAAGGTATATTTTTAAAGTTCTACAATATGAAATAAGAATATGCATAGAAACACTCATTGCATTGTGAAATGTGACAGTGACTGTGATGAAAAGCACTGGAACCGTTTCATTGTGATCTGCTGGAACACCTTTCATTTTACAGAGTTCCATTTGCTTTTAAACTGGAAGGAACTGAGAGTATCTTTAAATATTTTTATTTGGCAGACATTTTTCCCACCAATGAATAAAGTTTTCTTGTCACTTAAAGGAAAAAAAAAACTAACAATATTTGTTGTTAGTGATAAAACTGAAGTTTTTAAGATAAAATTAAAATTTGGGGAAACTCAAATCACCTTTAGATTGATAGCTTCCCCAGTATTTAATAAACTCACTTTAAAATAAGATTAATGGCAATATAACAAATATAATAATTTGAAATAATTCAGTGAGATATGTCAACATTTGGGAGATATGTATAACTCAGGAATTAACATTTTTAAATGACTAATGCATGAATATAAGCATTTATATGCATGAAAAATTTAAAGCACAACAGACCAGTGAATTTTAATGTAATATTTGGAAATGCCCAAGGATACTACTTACCAAGTTTGCTATACTATCACAGAATATCACAATTATCTGTAAAGGGTAAAATGTACCCTATTTTTCAAATATACATACACAAGTATGTATACATGAATACAGAGTATTCCTGTCTACTAAACACAGCAGCACATTGTGAAAGACTGGGTATAGAAGCAGATGGGATGGTACTGCCTTCTGATGGGGTACAGTTAACCTGTAAGACAGTATTTAGATGGATTGCAAAATAAAACTTGGAAAGTCTTTTTATTTTTACATTTTAAATAGAAATAATATAGACAAAAGTTCTTTAGAAATCTTAATAAATTTTTAAGTCAAAGGGGTTTTGGGAGTATGTGGCCTAGGATAATCAGCATACAATTTAGAAGAGCATAACTTCATAATCCACAATGTGTTGGTTTTTTAACACAATGCTTTGTGAAGTAGTTTTCAAATGATAGTGCGAACGTTGGTTTCATATCACATTTGGCATTATTTGAGTCAGTGTTTTGAAACTTTTCTAAACCTTCATTTTTATTTTATGCCTTTACAAGAGTGCAGGGCTGGCCAGATGGCTCAGTGGGTAACAGTACTTGCCACCAAGCCTAACGACCTAAGTTCATCCCCAGGACCCATATGGTAGAAGGAGAGAAGTTGCCAACCTCTGCAAGTAGTCTTCTGACCTCCACATGTGCACTGTGCTGTGCACAAGTATACATATGCACAGAGTATATAAATAAACTTGAAATACAAGAATAGAAGCAAAATATGAAATTAAATAGGATTTATGAAACTATCCTTTTTGTGATTATACCTTTTTTCAATGGTAAGGTGTAAGAATATTGAAAAGATATTCAGTGATAATCTGTGATAATTCTTTATGTCTTATTTATGGAGTGAATATTTTGATTTGAGTTAAATGGACAGCTTTATTTTAAAAATTTGCAGTAGCGCAGAGTCCAGTGCATTATGGAATATATGTGGAAGCTAACAGAGTGTAATGGGAACCTTTTGTGTATTATTAGTGATAACTGTTTATGCATTCACATGTAATGGTCATAATGTTGGTAAAGTTTCTGATTTTTATTTTTTCTGTAAGCAGATAATCTCAGTGAAACCTTAAAGAAGCTGAAGATAACAGCTGTTGACAAGACAGAGGATAGTTTAGATGGATGCTTGGATTGTCTGCTTCAAGCTCTGGCTCAAAATAGTAAGTTTCATTGTTTACTCAAATTCCAGACAAAAAGAATCAGATCTGCATTGTTCAGAAATTGGTATATAGTTAGGCACATAACTTGTATTCACATGTCTTGAATTCTTTTTAATCTTATTCTTGAATGTTGAGCTTGTTTTCAGTGTTCTATCCTCCTACTTACCCTCCACCCCCAAGGTACTCAACGACCTACCAATAGGCACAGAAAGGAGACATTCATTGTGGTGATGGCATTTAGAGTCCCACAGAAGAACCATTATTTCATTCCTAACAGACAAACGGAGTTGTTGTTTTTTCCTCAACACCTACATTTGTACTTTAAAAAAAAACAGACTGTTTAAATGTAAAGAGGAGACAGGAGAAGCTAAAGGGGGAGTTTACAGTACTTCACATTGTTTTGCTGAGCTCTTTTTAAAAGAATTTTATTTTAAAATCATATGTGTATACATAGGTTAAATTGGAAAGAACCATCAGCAGTCATAAACACATTCCTCAAAACTTTGGGTAAAGCTTATGGTGAATAATTCCAAAGATAGAAACCACAAAATTCTTTACTATCAGTATATTACTACATTTGATTGAACATATTTGTATTCACTGATTTCTGTGTTATCATAGTGAATAGATACATATAAAAATGATGTTCATTTGTTCCTGTTATTCAGCTTAGCCGTACTGTATTTGTATTTAATCATACCAGTTTCTTTTTTCCTGAGACTAATTATGTCGCTGACAAAGAATTCAGGAAGAGTATATTGTTATGGTTTTAATCTCAATCACTCAGGGATGGATGTTATTTCTCTTTTATTTCTCATTAAACTGCCTAGAAAATCTAAAATAATTGATAAAGTACATTTTTAAAGCTAGCCTTTGTTAGTTAGCTTTTCTTGTTGCTGTGACAGAAACAGCTTAAAGGAGAGAGGGTTTATTTTGGCTCACGATTTCAGTCCATCAGGGTAGGAGGTTGTAGTAGGGCAGAGTTGTTATGCCACAGGCAGCCAGTAGAGAAGGAGGAAGGCCCTGGGACCTTTAAAGGAACACTCTTTGTGATCTATGTCCTCTAGCTAGTGCCTACCTCCTGAAGCTTCACCACCTCCCAAAGTAGCATTACCAACTGAAAGCCATGCTATATAACACATTAGGCTGTAGGGGGCATTTCATATTTATAACATAACACATCCTTTAAAATTGTGTTTCAGTAATCTCCTATCCTTTTGAGTGTCATCCTGTCTAACTATGTAATATTAAAGAGAACACATGGGCGTGAGACAAGTTCAGTGAGAACATCTACACAACACTCTGCCCATGAAACACAAGTCTAAGACAGTTTTCAATAAATGGGTTCAATAGGTGTAGCCCAAAGGCTCCTCTGAAAAGCTGGAGCTGGTCCAGGGTGAGTGTGAGTGGGCAGAGCACACTAGGAAAAAGGTGTGGAGCCGCCCAAGCCACTGCTGTATTGGGCACAACTGAGCAAGAGGAGAGAGGGGCTGGAGAAGGATGGCCTGTGGATTTCAAATATGGAAAAGGAAAAGCCTATAAGAATCTGTGTTTTTGTAAGACACCCCTCCCAAATGTCACATAAACTACAAAATCCAAATAGGGTGTCTTATGTCTGTTTGTTAATCCACATCAGGTTCGGGAGACTAGAGGGCATCCCCCAGAGAGAAAAAAGGGAAAAATTTAGTGAAACAACAGGGTAAGCGCACGATGGATTTGGAATTTAATCCAACCATTATTCTTGATAATACTTCTTGTTATTCTTGCACAGGACCTGGATTTGGTTCCCAGAACCCACATGGCAGCTAACAGCAGTCCATAGCTCTAGTTGCAGGGGATTTGACATCCTCCTCTGGCCTCTGCAGGCATGCAATTTCATGCACATACATGGTATACATACATGCAGGCAAGGCATTCATTACACATAAAATGAAGGAAGGAAGGGAAAATAAAGAATTGTATATCACAAAATTTTAAGATCATACAACCATAAGGTAATTAGTACAAACAATAGACCATTGACTAATGACTTCCCAGAAAGGTAAGGAAAAAATGTTTTATTAACAATCCAGAAGGTTTATGAATGTTCTCATGTCTAAGACTACCAACACAAAAGAATTTGATACAGGAAGGAGTTCTTGCAGATGGCCAGTCTTTGATTTAAAAGTTATACCTATATATTTCTAAAGAAAATGTAATTTTGAAATATCTACATTGTTGGGGCTGGAGAGATTGCTCAGCAGTTAAGAGTACCTGGGTTCAGTTTCCAGCACTCACATTGGTGGCTGACAACCCCTGTAACTCCAGTTCCAGGGACTATTATGCCCTCTTCTGGCCTCTGAGGGCATCACACACATGTAACACACAAGCAAACAAGCACTCATACACACAGAATAAAAATAAAAACTTGAAAATTACATGAATTTTGTATGTTTGAGATGTATATTACAAATGATTGTAATCTGAAATTAGAAAAAAAAATTTTTGAAGCAGGGTCTCACTATGTAGCCCTGGCTGGCCTGGAACTTACTATATAGACCAGACTGGCCTCAGACTTACAGAGTTCCACCTGCCTCTGCCCCCCAAGTGTTGGGATTAAAGATATTCCATACATACATGCAATGTATTTTGATCATATTCACCCCCCACTTCCTCCCCACAGTTCTGGATCTACACTGTCTTCCCTCCCAATCTTTACAACTACCGGATTGGCCTCCACCTGCCTCTGCCTCTTGAGTGCTGAGACTAAAGGCATGCATCACCACACCCAACTTCCATTTTTTAAACGATCTACTGACTTCCAATTTGTGGTGCCCATATATGCATAAGTGTAGTACCATCCACAACTTAACAGGAACCACACCCTATAGAAAATTGACTCTCCCTCCCCTAGCTGCCGTCAGTTGCCAGTGGTTCTTTGGGTGGTGGCCTGTGAACCCCTCCCTGCTCTGTGCTGGAATGTTGACTGGCTTGATCTTGTGCAGACACCCACAGCTGCTGTGAGTTCATGAGTGTCTCACACTCCTGACATGTCCAGGAGACACTTTCATCACAGCCCTCCTCAACCTGTGGGTCTTACGGTCTTTCCTTCCCTCCTCTCCATAATGTTCCTGAGCTTTGGAATGTGTAAAGAGAAGTGGTATAGATGTCCCATTGGGGCTGAGCACTGCACAGACACTTATCCCCTGTACTTTGACCTGTGTTGTTTCTGTTTTAACCCTGTCCACTGCATAAAGAAACTTACATGATGAGGATGAGGAACTGCACTAATCTATAGGTAAAGATATGTATCCTTAGAGGGCAGTGTAGTGTTGTGTCCATTTAGCAAAATAATAGTATGTTCACCCCTGGGGCCTGTGAACACCCAGCCATGGGTTTTTGTCCAGCTTTACAGTACCAGCCATTTTCCTCTGGGGAGTAGGTCACCCCCATACCATTGTGGCACTATTGCACACATGGGCATATCTTGACAGACCACTCGGTGTTATAGCTTGCAGGGTACACAGCAGGGTAAGACTATTGACCTGGAAGCTTCCTTCATGCTGGCTAGCTTTCACAGTACTGAATTTGAACTGTTTACTTTGACATGTGACTTTAAAGTGTTTTTCTCCTTTTGCTCCCTCCCTCCCTAATTGTAATATTTATGTTAAATATTAAAGGTAAGAATGAGAAGATTTGGATATTTACTAGGTTTTGTAGAATATATTTTGCTTAAGCAAGTATTCTGTATAAATCTTTGCTCTAAATTAATAACATTCACTCATATAAACACTTCAGATCTCACTTTAAAAATATTTTTAGTAAATATATGAAGGCCACCAGCCAAGAAATCAGCCTGTTTGTTCTGGTTTCTTTTGATTCCAATTATAGCTGCAAGACTTTTAGTAAATGCTGAATTCTAGTATGGATACACTAGTTCATGGTCATTTGTAAATTTAAAACAATAGACTGCCTATTGTCTTCTTCGCTAAACATTTAAGACAGGGGCTATCGTTAAAGGATATAGAATGTCAGTCACCTGCAAGAAAACCGTTTCAGATTCAAACTATCATAGTACGTGAGGGGGCACAATGTTTTGAAATGATACTGTGTGCTAAATTTATGCTGGAAAAGCTGCCACCCATAAAATCTTACTCATTCCAGTACTGGTTTACTGTTGCTAAAGACTACACATAGTTCTAGTAGTCTATGGTTACATACTTAATTGAAGCTGACTTCCTTAATCATGTGCAGTAGTTCTCATTGGTGAATCTAGTTACTCTTGGTTAACTGTGGCAGAAAAATATTAACTGGCATGTTCAAGAAATAAAAAATTGATAACTTTTGTATTGCACACGATTTATAGAAACGGTGTGAGGTTTTGTACCATTTCTTCCGGCACCTGGACCATCCCTTCTCCAGCATGTGCATGTGTGCTCCTTGCCTGTTTGTCACTGAGCAGTGTCTCCGTTTTCAGATCCACTATCTATCAGATAGGCTGTCAGAATGACTGTTGTCATATCTCATTACTTGTGCTCAAATCACTCTTATTACTTAATAATGACCCCCAAATGCAAAAGTGGTAATGCTTGCCATTTGGATATGCTAAAGGGAACCCACAAAATGCTTTCTTAAGGTGAAAAAGGAAATGTTCTGAACTAAATAAGAAAAGGAAAACTTGTATGCTGATGTTGCAAAGGTCTGTGGTAAGAAGCCTTTTTCATCCGTGAAATTGTGAAGAAGGAAAAAGACACTCATTCTAGCTTCGCTATGATACCCAAACTAAGTTAGAGCACAATACATAATAAATGCTTGGTTGAGGTAGAATCAACATTAAATTTGTGGGTGGAAGCATGAACAGAAATTGTGTTCTAATTGATGGTAATATATTGTGCCAGACAGCCTTAAGCCTTACTTTATCTGACCATGTAGGCACTGTATTCTCTCTCACCATCACAGGGAGAAAAATGAGTATAGAAGAGTAAGAGCAAAAGAAAAAGATATTCACAATACTTTTAGTA